TATATATATATATATATATAGCTTGTGTATGTAAAGTACGTATGTTCAGGATAATAGGCATTTGGAAAAAAAAAACAAACAAACACCAAAACAAACAGGAGAACAAGCCAAATCCATAACCTTGCCAGGTGGAATTATAGTTTTCCATTTGCCATAGTCACATGTCAAGGTTTTCCAGACAAGCTATTCTGCATCACAAAGTTTTCATTTTGGTTCCTGTACTCAGTGAATTTATGTATTTTTCATCCACTGTAGTTTTCCTACTCTGTACTGTTGAGTATATTGTCAGGTCCCGGATTTCATGAAGAAGGAAGATGATCACTATCTCCACTTATAGGTAACAGAACATAGTCAAAGCATAATTCAGAAGAAAACACAGAAGAAAACACAGGAATCCTAATTCTAAGCTTTTACTAAAATGGCTCCTTCCAGAAAAATCTTAATTAAGACAGGTCAGCTGTAAAACAGACAGAAGAGTGGGATTTTTTGGTTGGTGTTTTTTTTCTTTTCACTCCACTTCTCATAAATGAGTGAAATCCTTTCCTTGTATTTATAAAGCACCTCAGCTGACTGATGCAGGAATAAACACCACCACATGTACTCCGACTTGCAATTTTGGTGGTTCTTTTTGAAAGTAAGTGGTTTGTTTCTTACCATATGGTCATCCATGCGCACAAATAATGTTGGGCTCACTGCTAATGACAGTTTAGGAGACATTCATGGTATTAGATTAATTTATTGTGGGAAGAACTTTCTTCAGCCTCCACATTGGTGCATCTCTATTGGTAATAGAGTGGGAGAGTAAAAGACCAGACTGACTCTGCTGCTTTTTACCCATCCATGTAAATCACAGCAGAGATTTATGACAATTATTTAAATAGTAGTGCTATAAGAAATAACAATAAAAATCCCAATGTACTTGGCTTTGGATACAGTGAAATAGATTGCCATTTGCAACACAGCTTACCTTCAGGTACCTTACTGTTGGTATTGTTACACCACTTGGATGCTGCTGGATTTTAACTGCTACTAGGGTGCCTACAGCTCAAAGAAAGGTTTTCAGCTTTTATATGTTTGCTGAGGGAAAAAAAAAATAAGGCCACTTACTTTTTACAAGCTCCTATGCGAGACTCTCGGATCCTATACAGCAATGCTTTTGCAAATGCAAATGATGCTCTGTTACTGATGTCGTAAACAATGACAAATCCATCAGACCAGTGGAGCTCATCTGTGAGGGAAAGCTTCCCCTGCTGTGGCTGAAAGAAGTTCAAATTCACATGCAGAAAGAATGTTACTGTTGTCACTGTGAATATTAGAATGTTGTATCTTTTATTGCAAAACAAAATTAATAGGTCTAGGTGCTGGCATTGAATTCAGGTGAGTCCTGCTCCAAAAGGCTCATAAATAACCAGCACTACAGATGGCACTTTGGATCACTGACAAATTCATTGCGAAACATTTACAGTTTGTTTAAGCAGTAAAACTGTGTAACCTGTACAGCCATTGCTCATGCTGAATATTTTGCTGTTACATGAGAATGAAACATACAGGAGATACCAGTATTTGTGCGGTTTCTGGTTATAGCTCTGTTTTGCACATTCCTAATAGTCTGACTACAGTAAGCTTTCATTTTGTTTGTGTTTTTCTTCTTTTATTTCTTCTTCGCTTTGTTGAAGTCTGAAACATTGCTTACCCACATGGTAAATTTCTAAAGACCTAAGAAAAAGATCTCCTTTCAATCTGCAGATGACTTCAAGAAAACTTGTGACAAGTCACCCAAGTGATGATGGGGTTAATTATCCAATCCTTGAGTCCCTTCACCCCAAGAAACTGTTGTACTTAGGATTTCTAGAAACCAACAGCTGCAAACTGTCCCATTAAGCTAAGGACTGTAATTTCAAAACTATTTTAAAATAGCCTATCCCTGCAGATAATTTGGCAGCAGAGAGAAAAACCATGTGACCCAAGACAGGTAAAAAAACGGAAGTTGACCAGGAGAAAAATAAAAAGCCCCTTGACTTTTGCTCTGGAAAACCCACCTTGAACAGCAATTTGAGCACTGTTTAAGTTATCCTCTCACTAGTTTATACATTGATATTTTCACTGTATAATCGCCACTGACATCCCACCCTGGTTGCCTTGATTAGCTCAGCATCTGGGCAGCACAGTAGCATCATAAACAGCTGGACAGGGAAGGCTGTAACTTCTCTCGAGGGATGGAACACTGGCAGTGAAAGGGGATGCATTAGAATGAAAAGACGGAACAAGTTTCCAGAACTGTCTGAAGACTTCAGTATCTTGAATACAACAGGGTTTTTTTAATGTGGTGGTGACTGCACAGCTGGCTTAGGGGCAGGAAAGATGACTTGTGTGTATCACAGCTGTTTCCCAGATAGATGAAGGGACAGGGAGCTTTGCAGAACAGGAATCCAGCTGTTAGAGAGAAGCCTCAGGGAGCAAGATTTCAGGAAGCAGAAATAAAAATGGCAACTCTTCCTTCCCCAGTCTGACCTCCTCTTGGGACGTGCTTTTCTTCCCCAGCTACCATGGCATATAGGACCTCTGTACCCCATCCACCTCTTCCTAGAATCACCAGTCCTATCAGATGAAAAGCAATACCACTCTGTATTTGCTACCTACTCCTCTGCAGGCACTAAAAAGTCAGGAAGAAAACAACAAACAGCTAAAATTAGGCCTTGTTCCTAAGAAGAACTGTATAGGACAGCTCAGAGTGCTGGCAACAGGAGTTGCCCTTACCAGCTGATCTCAGGTCTCCTTAAAAGCAAAAAGGTGCCCAAACTGTAGCAACCAAAGCCTTCTACCCATAATGTACTCTAACCTGCTTTACGCTAGCTCCCAGTCTCAGTTTCAAGTATCTTAACGAAGTTACTCACAGGCCAGATGATTTAATGCGTCATAGTTTAAGCGCAGCTTCCACAGTAAGTAGAAGCTATAGATGGGCTTAGGAAAGGTGACTGAGAGGTGGAAGCAAATCCACAGAACAGTACATTGTTACAGACTGTATGGCAAGGGAGGACTCCATGACGTTACACGGCACAGGGTCTATGTCAGGATCCCCACTGCCCCAGGACAAGCAATCCTGTTGCTTGTCTCTAGGAAGGCAGATTAGTTTTGGTGGTTCATTTTATGTGCTCTCTGGGTTAAGTTTTAAGTCCTTGAATTTAAGCCTAGGTCAGACTTTCAGTGCTTTGGCTTTAGCATTCATGATGCCTGTTGATATGAGGCACAATCACTGCCCGTAAGGGAACCTTGCACACTAATGTGATTAGCCAGACAGACCTACATAGGTCTGCATGTGTTACACAATACCTGAGTTTCTCTATTCCTCAAATAGCAAGAATGAATACAAAAATCTTTATTTCAAAGCTGTTTATTGTGATCAAAGTCCAGCTGTCAACACATGCAAACCTGCGTTATGGCTTTCCTTGGATCTGTTTTGTGAATGCAAGTCTTACTTCCAGGCCTGTCTGCTTTGACCATTTCTGCAGGCATTTAATAAACTGCTTGCTTTATAAACTAAATTTCATCCATTTAGGGTATTTGAGAAAACTGCACATAATCCTTTAACTTACCTCTGTATTTACTTATATAAGGCAGAAGTGGGAAAAGTTATTTTTGTTAGTAGAATTCCAAAAACCAAAAGCATTTACAGAAAAAATAATTAAGGGCTTCTTCCATGAAATGAGAAAGTACTCAGCAGTTCTGAGCCACAGCAACTGCAAAATTTCAGTCTTCATAAAAAAAGCAAGCAGAGATTCCAAGAACAGAGAAGCTTATGACACACACATTCCCCTCCTGACACTTTCTGCCATTACAGAGGTAAAATGAAGAATAGCCTTTCTTTGCTCACCAAAATTCTTACCTGTGAACAAGGGTCATAAATTTCCAAGTGTATCTGCCTCCCATCCAGGCATAAGTGTTTAGTGTAGATGCATTCTAGAAGACACATAGTATGCAAAGAAAGCCAGCGTTAGTGACTGGGGATGGTGGTGAAAAGGCAGCAAAAGTGAGACTGGATAATACTAAGGGTTCCTTGAGTATTGTCTAGGTTTTCAAGGAGTCTGGGTGGTGGTTTTTGTGGGGCTTTTTTGGGGGGGGAGAGGAAAGGG